GGCGAAGTAATTTTAAAAATAAATTTTGTCTAAGCCGAGAAAATCAATGTTAAAGTTTATGTAAATCAACATGAATCTGTATCACATATACAGATACGACACGCTTATGATTTTTCTTTGTGTTTTCTTCATGAATTATTAATGAGTTTTTAAAATTTAGTTATTTATTTACTTATTACTTTTCCCTATAATTGTTAATAATATACATAACATAATATACATATATCTTAAACTCATTAATAATTCTTGAGTAAATTAGCCAACCATATTGCTTTATTTTGCTCGCATGATAATACTGGATACCTGGTGAGGTATATTGATCCAGTCCTATGATCGGATCAAAATTAATTCACCTCATTATAAGTAATGATTTATTCGTATGAGATGCCATTTCAAATCCTCCAATTCGGACTAGATTTCAAGTCCTCGTATTTTAATCCAGTCCTCGTCTTCGCCTCGGACTTAATCAAATTGCGCGAACTTGAAATCTAGTCCAGTCCTCATAGTCGCATTTGAAATATAAACATCAGAGACTAAAGTTATACATAAGAGTCACATGGCTGGGTAACTGCAACAGCTGCACTGTAAATTTCAAAGAGATGAATCAACTCGAAAAGGGTGCTCTGCCAGCTCTGGTGCCGAGTTGTGTCGGTCACATGCGCCGCCCGCCCATCAGCATACAGCAGTACTTGACTACTGTATTTGAACTATAAATGTTGTTCACAGTTGGCTTATCATCATATTATTTATTACTCAAATTACTGTATCTCATTTTGTCTCTAATATTTTTTTGCTTTATCATGAAAAATAGCACCCCCCTGCACCCCCTCTGCCCAGGGCTACGGGGGTGCGCACCTACCATACCCCACACCCCAGTAAATCTATCCCTGATTCAACTGCTTGAAATTTATAAACAAAGCTATAATCTAAATTGTACATTTGCAATTTTCGATATTATTATTTGTTAGTGTTAGTGTTAGCGGTTATTAGTTACAATTAGTTACAGCAGCGGACCTCAATAACTGGAGGACGTGCCACATTGCACTTGCAACAAATGGATTTCCATGTAATGTACGAGGGTCTTCTATGTCGCAGTTTAATTGTACTGCGGAGTGGTAGTAAAGAAGTACGCAATATAGTAATATTTACCAACCTTCTTCCAATTCTCTCCTCAGTCTTTCAACCTCGGCCTCTTCCTCTGCAATTCGCTGATTCAGCAGTTCTAAGTCTTCCTTCAACTGCAACAATTTGTCGTACGCATCCTGTAGTTCAGCCTCCTTGGATCTTAGCGCCTGTTCTAGCTGTATACAAAAGAGGTATAAGAAAAAACTACCTATGTCAGTGGGTTGTTTGATCACATTTTAATCAGCAGAACTCGAAAATGTGCTTTATGTTCCTCGGATATAGCCTCCTCCGCAGGCAACTCTTTGGCAAAAGTATTGAGTAAAAAAATTGGCAAAAATGTGAATATTATAGGGTTACTAACTTTAAATTCGCTGTTATTCATAATATTTCTGCCAAAGAGTTGTCTGCGGAGGAGGCTACCTCGGATAGTGAATAGATGATTTCAGCTCCAGACTAAATTTTGACCACAGCAAGAAGAACGAAATCCAACACCACAGCTAGAAAGAAGCCCTGTGAAGTACGCAAATTTTGTATATATTTGTATTACGCGCGGTAAAAAGTGGTTATTTTTGCCCGCGCGTAATACAAATAGCTATATACAAAATTTGCGAACTTCACAGGGCTATATTTTCTTCATTTTACAACAATTCGCAACCAAACTTTGCAATTTTACTCATTTTAAGATGCTCTT